TTTCCTAAATTCTGTGCTGTTTTCCAAGTGTTCCGTCAATACCTTCATGGTGGTGACACCCCGTTCTGCCTTCTTCTTACATAAGTGTTTGCTGTCCACCTTTCCCATTTACTTCTTTCCTTTGTTACTAAGTACTCACTTTGCACCAAGTACCGGAGACCTAAAGATGTAAAAGATAGGCTTGGTCTCTGTGTCAGAGAAATTTGCCACTCAGAGGAGTAGACAAAGAAAATGAACTTGTCTTGCAAGCTTTTTGTCTGTTCTGTTGGCCACTAAATCTAAACTGTCTTCAACAGTGTCAAATGTATAGTTACTGCTCAAGAGAGGTTTGCTGAATGGATAATCTATCAGAACATGCATGTATGTATACATACATATACTTGCATGCATGTGTGTATGTTATATGAAGCCCAGTGCAATCACAGAGTTGGGTTCTAACTGGACATGGCTTGGCACACATGCGTCTCTCGTTTTAGGCAAGAGTAAGGTCTTCGTTTGCATTTTCCCATGTTGCAGACCCTGAACTTCTTGAATTGTGAGTGCTTGGTAAATGCTTGTAGTACTATTTCTCGCCAGACCAGACCTCAACATTTTCTCCTTCAGATGCTTTGCCTGGCCTGAATTCAAGGACAAACTGGTCCAAACTTCTTTCTCCCTCATGCTTGCTCCTTGAACCAAACTCGGGGTCTTTGGAGGCCTTTGTTTATTGCAAAGGTGGAACTAGGACTGCCCCAACACCTCCTGCTAGAGCAACCCCTCCCTGAGGGACTTGTCAAGAATGGTCCAATATGGCGCCCGGCAGTGGCATGCACCTTTAATCCCAGCCCTCAGGAGGCAGAGGCAGGCAGATCTCTGTGAGACTGAGGCCAGCCTGGTCCACATAGTGGACTGGGACTAGGGAGATCCTGTCAAACCTCCATAAAACCAACCAACCAACCAACCAAAAAATAATGGCCCAAGATGATAGAACGATGTGTTGGTTGCTTTACTTGTTGCTGTGGCAAAATACCTGGCAAGTAGCAATTTAAGAAAAAAAAGGTTTATTTTGGCTTGTGGTGAGAGATTACAGTTAGTCCACTGTGGTGGGGAAGGCATGGTGGCAGGAGTGTGGGACAGCAGGTTGCATTGTATTCACTCACAGTCAGTCAGGAGCAGAGAGATGAATACTGGAGGTCAGCTTGCTTTCTCCATTTTAAAATGTGTGTGTGTGTGTGTGTGTGTGTGTGTGTGTGTGTGTATGTGGTGTACATGTAGAGGTCAGAGGACAACCTGGAGTGTCATCCTTGGTAACACTAAACACCTCCTTTGAGACAGGATCTCTCATTGGCCTGAATCTCACCCATCAGGCTAGCCTGGTGATCTCTCTGGTTCCCCTGTGCTGGGAAGACAAGCCTGGGTGACCATGCCCAACTTTTTATGTGGGTATTAGAGATCAAAATCAGGCCCTTGCTCTGGAAAAGCAAGCAGTTTACTGACTGAATCACACCTCTCTGACTCTTGATTTCTCCTTTTTATTTAGTAAGAATCGCAATCCATGGGATGGGGCTATCCACACTCTGGTGGGTCTTCTGTCCTCAATGAAACTTTTCTGAAAACACACCCAGACCTATGTTTCCTAGATGATGCCAAATCTAGTTGACAATCAAGATTGATTATAATACATGGCTTTATTATGTAATTGCTTAAACTGATAGAGTTTACTTCCTGTGCATAGAGCATTACTTTATCAATCTCAAGATACTCAAAACATAGCCTCTTATTCTGGAAATGCTTGGTATTACTGCTGTGGGAGATTTGATAGGCTGTTGAATCACAATGGTTGGATCAACAGAATTTCTTATCATCTCCCCAGTAACTCAATTCAACTCACATTTCTTGAGCTCCTGCTTCGGTCTGTACACTGAGATAGATAAGAGACATGTTGTGAGAGATGAGGCATGCAGTCCTGCTATCAGCAGGCGTTCAGAGTTGACAGCATAAGGGATGGGTTAACAAAAGCATTTCAGTAATCACAGAACACGGCAAAATGTGTTCAGTAGGATGAACTTGGTGGTTCAAGCAGCTCCCATGGACATCTGGACATGGTGACGGAGCTGGGGATGTGGAAAGGGTCATAAATCTCTCTGAGGAATGGAGCCAGGGAAGAGACAAGAAAACCAGGAAAGCCAAAGAGAGCCATGTGGTACCCACAGGACAAGTAGGAAAAGGAGGCTGAGCCCCTCATTCTTCTTACCTACAGGAAAACCAAATATGCTTTCCAGATGCTCCCAGAAATGGGCCCAAACACCAGAGACTGTGGAAGCTTAGACTTGCCGTACAACTCCAGAGGATCTCACACCCCTGACAGGAAAGGCAAGCATGGTGCATGTGCAGCCTAGAGCCTCACCAGCTGGAGCTTGTGGTTCCTAATGTTGTGGCCTTGCCTTTTTGCCCGAGCTCCTTATTCTGGTCTACGCCCAGTCCTAGTCTGTTTGTGGGGCATTTATCCTGAGTGAGAAATGATGAACCAGGAAGTGTGATGGGGAGGCGCTGAGAGAAGGGACCCTGAAGGACAGAAGAGATGGCTTGATTTTGATCCTCTACTCTTCTCTTATCTCTTCTTTCTTTTTTTAAAAAAATTTATTATTTATTTTTTTATTTTATGTGTATGAGTGTATTGCCTGCATGTATGTGAGCGCACCCATGTCATGCAATGCCGTGGAGGTCAGAAGAGAGTGTCGGATTCCCCTGGAACTGGAGTTATGGATGGTTGTTAGCCACCATGTGGGTGCTGGGAATTGAACCCGAGTCCTCTGCAAGAGCAGTCAGTGCTCTTAACCGCTGAGCCATCTCCCCAGCCCCCTCTTCTTCTTTCTTTAACAACAAAAGAGAGAAAGGAAAAAAAATCTTGGTGGTTTTAGAATGCTATTTAGGCTGTTTTGGAGTTAGGATTTAGCTGTGTAAATCTCCAGAAAGCTGTTTATATAAGCAGTTCCAATCTAGCAGACTCAATGTGTACACCAACGCCTTTGTTGTGTTATTATAATTTGCTAAGTGATTTTCAGTTTCTTTTAGTGCCTGAATCTGCCAGAATATTGCAGGCTTTATTTTACCATGTGCTTTTCTTTTTCTGCTTCCCCGGGTTACCTTAAGACCCCAAACTGTATGTTACAAAACAGACTGACCCATAGTGTTGACAAGACCTTAGAGACTGGAGAGACTGAATCATCAAGATAACCATAGGAGGGGGTGGAGAGATGGCTCAGTGGTTAAGAGCACCAGCTGCTTTTTCAGAGGACCTGGATTTGGTTCCCAGCACCCACATGGCAGCTAACAATCTTCTGTAACTATAGTTCCAGGGGACCCAGTGCCCTCTTCTGGCCTCTGTGGGCATTGCATGACACAGATGCACTTACATACATGCAGGCAAAAAGATTAACTTATGAAAGAAGTCAGTTGGCAGGGAAAGACTGAAACCTTTCCCTACTTGGGCTTCATGTACCAAATGGAACATGCTCAGGCCAGTTTGCGAGGGATGACAGGAGGCTCTTCCTCACTTGAGCTTCATCCAGCTAACAGAGTATTCTTGAGAAAGGCCCATTAATGCAAACCGAAGAGAAGGGCACTATATAAAGGTCCTATAAAACACTATAGGCCTGTAACTCAATGCTTTATGGGCAACTTCCTCAGCTCACTAGCCCACTCCTATTCTAGGGATGCTTTGCCTTTCTTAATAAGTAGTCTCTCTTTCTACTTCCGTGTGTCCCTGGTACAATCTTTTGCCCTGAGACACAAGAACCTGGAATTGGATGCCCCTTGAAAGCAGATCGAAGGCCAGGCACTAAGCATGCTTTCCCTACACACTGTGCTTTCTCAGTCTGTCTCTGAAGCCTTGTCTCCCCTTCCATCATGGGACTACTTGCTTATTTCAATTGCAAAAGGCCTGGCTTTCTCTCTTCCTCTTCTTCATCCCCTTCCTCCAGGCAGTTGCCAAGATTTACAGCTTGTCTGCCCTTTTGTTTTTCTCTCAAAGTCTAATAAAACTGTCCTTAAGCTTTCTTCTGAGTCAGTTTTTAAATTATCTTATTAATGAGATTAAGAACCCAAAAGGAAACTTTGGCTTCCCCAGTAACAATAGGAAATACGTTTATCAATCAGAATGAGTAATACTCGTTTTCACAGAGATTTATGACCAAAGAAATGTAGACTTACAGAAGGGAGGTGATTATTCCCTATTACACTATGCCCCTCCTATTTTGTGTCCTAGCAACAGTTAGGGATTTTGTTGTTAATCCCCACATGTTTGGGCTGTATGTGCTGTGTGTACATCTATCTATAGGGAAAAGAGCAGGGCAGCTAGTTGCTGGCCAGCGTTAAGCGTACTGAGTCTTAAGACCAGTGATTAGCTGTTGATTCTGCCTGAAATGGACTTGGGAAGTGATGCTAGCTTTGAATTCCCATCAGCTTCAGAGAGTATGAGCACTGGAAAGTCAAAATGATTGGGTTGGTTCACTTGGAAACTTGGAGTTTCTTTAAGTCTCAAGTCTGGTTTAGGTGCTGTCTACTCCAAAATGATTAAATTCTCCATAATATCACTTGTTTACACCATTTAATTCTTTCCAACATATCATTAAAGAATCAGAGGGTTTTAGGGGAACCATAGAGATGTGATTCAACCTATTCCATAGTACTATGACTGCTACTGTGATGGCCTGGTGTTACCAGTCAATTGGATGGGTCCATTTTCTTTTCCCAGATAGAAGGAAAAGCTCTTCTAGTGCTAGCAATAATAGGTCTCTGAGCGCCAAGGTTGGAGTGGCAGATGCACAGGCTTATAGCTCCAAACTGAGAACCAGGGGCCTGTAACTCCAAGTTTTAGAAGCCAGAGCTGTATATCCTTCGACACTCAGGTTATAGGTATATTTAAACATTAGCAGTTCTGGCACTTGGTAGCTATCAGAATTCTTGACTTTAAGCAGCAGTGAGCAGCGACAGCAGTAGAGAATGGCAAGCCATAGCAGATGGCGCCGTCTATCGGTACAGCCTTGAGTGCTGGGACCCTGGGCCCCACAGAGACAAGCATTCTTGGGCCGAAGATGTTGGGATCCACAGCTCTTGACAGTGGTGAGTCTACAGGTCTTGGGCCTCGGCTATCTGAGCCCCTTGGCCCTTAAGATTTGGCAGGTCTCTGGGATTCTTCCAGCCACCTGCACTTTGTTCTTCTAGGCTCTTTACAGCCATCTGTCTTTCCTCAGCCTAAGTTCGTCACCTTCCCTCACTCTCTCCATGCCCCCATCCCTAGTCTCTGCCATCTCTGTTGCTCATCATTTCTGCACTGGCCATTCTCTGGAGCTCCACAGCTGCTTCTTGTTGCCATCACTGTCGTCACTGACCTGCTGCCATCTGCACCGCTGACACTTGGTTGCCACGTCTCTTGTCATCTCTCTTTCTGTTCCCAGCTCAGCCTGTTCTACTAACAATGAAAAACAGTGAGCTGTGTAAACCTCCAAAGACCAAGCAAGCAAAAAGATTGCCTGAGAGAAGGCTTCTATTGGGCCTCATATTGCAAAACCAAGGATCAAATCTATAACCTACTTAAAAGAAACGTTAGGAACAACTTCAAGACTGTGGAGCAGGCAATGGAAGGTTAGATACATTAAGAGCACAAACAAAACAAAACGCTGACAAACTGGGCTTTATCAAGTGTAAAATCACTTGTATCAAAGTACATCTTAAGAAAGTGAAAATATAATCTATGGAATGGTGGAGTCTCTTTGCAAGTCATATATCATCTAAGTGTCTAGATCCAGAATAAGCAATTCTTGCAACAGAAATAATATCCTAGTTAAGAGCAGATGTAGTATTTAATAAATGTTTCTACAAGAAAGATATACAAATGTTCAGTAAATAAAATGAAAAGATATAATCAGGCAAATTCATTAGGGAAACACAAATCAATGCCATACTAAGATGCATTTGTACCCATTACAATAATGGATACCCCCAACACCTGTTTGTATCATGGCACCCCTCCCTCCATGATGAAATGTTGAAAGGCCTAATCTTGTGCAGGCCTTGTGCAGATAACCACAGCTGTAGTGTGTTCATGAGTGCAAGAGCTATTTCACGTCCAGAAGAC